TAAAAACGTCTCTCTCTGCTTTAGGTTTCAGAGTTCTCTCTGAGCTGTCTTGGCTGCTCAGGAGTATTCCCCAATTCAGCGTGTCTACAATATTCCGGTGGCAGCTGCCGGAAGTGGGCCCGTGCCCGGGGGAGGGCCTGGTGCAGGGCAGTGGCAGTGACCTCCTGGCTCATGTCTCCTCCCTCTGCCCTCCGCTGGGCTCCCTGCCTCAGACACTGCCTCTCCCATTCACCCCATGCACTTCAATTCCATCCTGTTCACCACTTTTTAGTGAAGGCCTACTGTGTGCAAGCATTGAGCTAGGCCTGGGGGTGAAGGAATAAACATCCTGACCTCTGCCATCAGCAGCTCCTCTTCAGGAGGCTTCCGTGCTCAGGCGTTTGCTGAGAGCTCTGTGCCATGCATGTAAATACAAGTGACTCAGTGACATTCTAAAAAACAAACAAAAAAACCCCAAAACAAAACACTTCCGGTAACACCCGTTCAGAAGCCTTTGCTGCCTCCTCATTGCCTGTGGGATACACACCTGCTCTGTGTCCCGGGGTTTGCCACCCTCTAAATTGCATCTTGCATAGGCTGAGTTTAATGCCCTCTCAACTTTATTGCTCACTGCTCCTCTATGCAAATGCCTCTCCTCACTCAGGAGGATTACTCAGCTCATCCGTCATCCATCATCCATCCATCCATGCCCTCACTCACATAGTCAATGACTCACTCAATACATATTCTCCTGAATTCCAGACCCTGCTCTGGGGATGCTGGGATGCCTAGGACCAGCTCCTATTCCGCGCAGCTCCTTTGGGCAATCAGGCCCTGGAACCCACCTGCCATCTCAGTCCCCTCCCCAAGGAGTGGCTGCTAATCTCCGTTTCCTCCAACCATTTCCTCCCATCCAAGTCCACTCAAATCCTACTTCTGTGCTGCCTCCTCTGGGCCCCTCGTGCTCAGAAATCTCCCCCCTCTGACTTCTCAAAGCAGGAGGATTCCTGGGTCTCTCTTGACCCTGGAGATGGACAGCCTCATCTTCAGGCCGCTGGTGCCTGTGTCCTGCTGGGGACAGTCTGTGTTTCAAAAGGCAGACGTGAGTGTGAGCATGCCTCCAAGGGACTTGCTACCTGTCAGCCTGCTTTGTAATGAGGGGGTTAATTAAGGGACTATTTAGGCCATGGTAAAAACAAGAATTTGAATGATAATTATTTTCATCATCAGTATGTCTGTGTACAAGGCACTGTTTGGAAGGGCTGTGCATGAATTCGCTCCTTGATTCCCCATGACGCCCACGGGGCACTGAGCTTCCCACCCCTCCCCTCTTTCCCATGAGGTAAACGTCACCATCCCCCCATAGATGGGAAATCCACATGTGAGGGACGCTAGGAAGGGACCTCCTGGAGGGACTGCCCAGAGCCCCCTCAGTGACCCCCTAAAAAGGGCCATGGGGCCCTCCTGAGATGTCCACGTTTGTCCCAGGAATGCCCCTATTGCTTTTGTGGTCAGTGACTTCCTCATGGGAGGCCCGTGAGCAGCTTCTCCTGAGAAACTCTGGGGTGCCCGTTTCAAGAAAGTCTGAGTGTGAGTGTGTGAGTGTGTGTGCGCGTGTGTGCGTGTGTGTGTGTTTCTGCCTGTGACTATGTGTGTGTTTCTGCCTGTGACTCTGTGTGTGTGAGTGTGTCTTTCTGCCTGTGACTGTGTGTGTGTGTCTGTGTGTGTGTGTTTCTGCCTGTGACTGTGTGTGAGTGTGTGTGTGAATGTGTTTCTGTGTGTGTGTGTCTTTCTGCCTGTGACTCTGTGTGAGTGTGTGTGCTTTCAGTGTGTGTCTGTATGTGTGTTTGGACAGGGGCAAGTTCTGGCTCTGCGGTGACTAACTGAGGTCACCTCATTCTGTGGCTAACTGAGGTCAAGGCACCTTACCATGTTCAGAGGCTCCAGGGAGAAAAAACGGTGGTCAGCAATTGCGGTTTTTCCCTGCACTATTTTTAAAGTTAGAAAAAACAAAAACCAAGCGGAAACACATTGCCTTTAATAGCTAGGTCAGATTTAGATAAAGCGCTGGCCCAGGGATTAGGGACTGCTAGTGTGACTGGGCAGCCAGAGCAGACTGGCTCCTCCAGGCCCTCTAGGGGGGGTCTCATGAGCCCCCAAAGCTCCAACAGAAATATGAATTACACCACCCCCTGTGCAGAGGACACCACCCATCTTCTGTGCATTCTCCCGACGGGTTATCATTCCCACTCACGGATGAGAACATCGAGGCCCCAGATGTCAATCACATGCCCAGGGTCACCTCAGTGAGTGACAGGGCTGGAGTTGGAGGCGGGTGCTTCTGCCCCAAAGCCCCTGCTGTTTGCACAACTCTGCACAGCACCTCCTCCTCCCCCAACCAAGCGCTTTCAAGTGAGGGCTAAGCTGCTGTTGGCTTGTTTAACTACTGATTTTCCATGAAGAAACAGGTTTCTTTCAGAAAGATTGATTAAAACAAAACACTTTGAGAGGAAAGTTCTCTAAGCCGTCATGCAGTATCAGTGTAACCCACGCCGCTAACCACTTCCTCACCGTATCAGGAACTCTGGCTTTTTATAGCTATAGATGGTGTTGACAGCATTAGAGGGTTCTCATCCCCAAATCCACTTCTCCCCACGGCCCCACTGTGGGCGAAGCCAGGCTCAGGGCCCCCACCTCAGGGCCCCCACCTCAGCACCCTGCAGCTCAGTTCACCATCTAGACCATGGGGCTCTGACTTTGAATACCTTGAGGGGTGTGTTTGTGTGTGTATGTGTTTCATCTCAAGACACAGCACATCTCACAAAAGCTGCCCCCCTCATCCTTGGAAAGATACCCCCACAGGCACAGGGACACCACAGTAGGGCTAAATCATTTTGACCCTTGTTTGTTGTCACCGTTGCTGAATTCCCCAGGCTTGGGCTAGCTGGGCGTCGGATTTTCATTGCTGCTGACTCTCACCATGAGCCTGGGACTCTCCCTTATTGACAGCTGCTGGAGCTGGAGCTCAGAGCATGCCGCTGGCTGGAGATCAGCAATGCAGGAAGCCTGCAGCAAACCAGCCGATGGCGGGAGACGCTGAGCTCATCTAAACGGACTGAGGACAGGAAACCCTGTACTCTTGAGTCTGTAGATCAGGCTGCCAGGCCTGAGCAGCTCTGAGCAGCTCGGAGCTCTTAGATGCGTTGTGACAATGTCAGGATCCACCCCGCCATGCTGCCGGCTTGGCTTCAGGCTGTCCAGCCTCTCCTCTGACTCTGGCCTCAAGGTCCCTCCTTGGACCTGACAGCTAAGTAGGAGTAACAGCGATAACAGCACCACCATCTTTCGTCAACACCCATCAGGTGTATGAAAGGTTGACTAGTGAGTGGCTCAGGACTTGGCCTTGGAGCCTGGCCGCCTACGTTCAGATCTTGTCCCTGTCTCTTCCTAGCCCTGTGATCTTGAGCAAGTCACTCACCTCTCTGTGTCTTAACCCTGCATCTAAAAACTGGTAATGTCGTCTGCCTCATGGGAGGCTTGAGTGAGCTAGTGTCTGTGCAGTGCTGAGGACACACTGAAACGCTCCATGGAGTTAGCTAGCGCTGGTGATGCTCAGCCGTCTCAGCCTAGAGGGGTTACACGGCATCGCCACCTCTGTGTCCGTGTTCCCAGGAGGAAAACGTGAAGCCACCGTGTGTGGAGCTGTAAGCTAGGTCGGGAGCGTGCTGCCTCAGCTTCCGGGATTCAGAGCTTTGACGCTCCTTGTGGACATGACCGGTCTTGGGCCCTGGGCTCTCCCTCTGCCCTCTGTGTCCACCCCTCCCAATACCACCCCAGGACAGCTGTTCTCATTGCTCCACCCCTGCTTTGACCGTGACCCTTCAGACCCGACTCCTGGAACCTTACAGAACCCAGTGCTGGAATGGGCTCCCTTGTTCCAGGAAACACGCCCAGCTGAACACCCCAGGAGGACGGGGCTGCTCGCTGCTGTCTTGTTTACAGCATGGGAAACAGCACCAATGAGCGTGGGCACCTCACTTTACAGTTTCCAGAACATTTTCCTCTGTCTTACGTCAACGATCCCCTTATCAGCCCAGGGAGAGCGGCACCCTCCGGCGTGCCCATTTCATGTTTAAGGAAACAGTTCTGCGTTTCTGGTGTTTTGGGTTTCTATTTTTAGCTCAGGGAAGGACCTAGAATGGAGTCAGCCAGATCAGTGCTCTCTTGATGCTGGATTAAGAGGGTACAGTTCAGCTCCAGGACACGCTGTCTCGTTCTGGATGTAAAACTACGCATGGCACAGCGTGGGGCTGGCAGCATGGCCGGAGGGAGGCTGCTTGGACTGGAGCCCTGACTCTGTCGCTCACTGGCTGGGTGATGTTGGGCAAGATACTGAACCTCACGTGCCTTTTTTTTTTTTTTCCCCTTTCAATTCTCATGTTTCTTAACTTCCTTTTGGAACCTGGCTCCCATCACCTACTCTCTTAGAGAGGAAATGCTCCCAACAACCTGAAAGTTTAAGAGACTTACAATGATTTTGCTGATACGATTGATTTTCACAGCGACTGTGTATCCAACATTTTCTAGGTGGGCTTCTGTTTTAAAGTCCACATCTGCCTTAACTAAGCCAGGAAAGCTTGCTGTTTAAGGAGTCCCCAGGAGGGGGGGGTGGGGTGCGGTCCCACCTTTTGCAGAGTTCTCTTCCCAGAGGACAGTTGTGATCTTTGTCCCTGTTTAGTCCCCATCGGCCCTTTGCATCTCTATGTGACTTTACTTCGTAGCCAGGACTGAAGATCACCCTGCCCGGGGCCCTCATTCCACAGGTGAGGAGACAGGCCACGGGACACTCATGCACGATCGCACAGCATGTTGAGGATATTGATCGGCCCTGACTTCCCAAATGCCTGTGGCTTCTCCAGGAAGGGTCTGGGGACTCCCAGGCATGATGTGCCTGAGGTCTCTGGGCTGAGCTGGGAGAAGGCGATCTTGATTATCAGCCCTGAGTGTGCTTCCTCTTCCAGGGTGGCTCCGTGCTGTCCCCCGCTGCTGTCATCAGCCAGGAGAGGGCTCAGCAGCAGGCAGCTGCTTTGGCAGAGGAGGTCAGCTGCCCCACCTCGTCTGTCCAAGAAATGGTGACCTGCCTCCGCGAGAAGCCCGCCAACGTCCTCAATGATGCCCAGACCAAGGTGGGCACTTGTCCCCAACAGGGTGGGGAGCGACATTCTCTGATCTTTTACAAGTGGGAAACCAGGCCTACAAACAAGACGTGACCCACCCAGGGCCACACAGTAGGTCGATGACCAGCTGGCACTGGGTTGCACACTCCCAGGTCCCCAGGGCTTGCATGGACCCGGTATGTAATGGACCATGCCTGGGTACTGATGGCCAATGGGTGTCAGTGCACTTGGCATTTTATCTATAAAATGGTAATAATATGTGGGCCTTATACAGTAAGAGAATAAAATGAAATGATATGTGCTGGGACTGTGGTGACGCTCGTCAGGTCACAGCTACACGTATTGAACCTTACGGGCATGCTGCAATGGAGTTGGGCCACCCCGCCCCCTTAGAAAGAGCAGCTGTGTGCCCCCTTTTCCTGCCTGCGAAGGTCCTGCTCACAGCCCACAGTCCCTGGCTGGCCCTGACATTAATAAAGGGGACACTAACAGTTGTCATCTGAGCTGATAGCTTGATTCCTTCAGCAACGAGCCTCGGTTCACAGGCCTGGAGTGGGTCTGATCCTCAGTCCCCTAACTGCGAGCTAACTGGATGGTGGCCAGAATGGATGCATTTTCCTGTCATATCCTGCCTCTGGCCACCACCCCATCCTCGATCGATGCCTCCTTCTGCCTCACGCACCTACAAGCGCAGGCTCACCCATTCCTCTCTGTGGACCGGCTGTCACCTCTGCAGGGAGGCTTTGGCAAGCTCCCCTGGCGACCAACCATTGCTCAGAGCAAGGTTCACCTTCCAGCCCCTGGCACTGTCCCCTGGTGTCTGGCCTGCTTCTTGTTCTGGCCATTTTACTCTGATTTCCCAATCGAGCCCCAGATAGATAACCAGCATTGGTGTTCCTAATGGTTAAGACCTTATTAGTGAAGCATTGCAATTGATTATTTCAGTACCATTTTTTTAAAAAAAGGATAAAATCCATATAAACAGTGGCGTCGCTTTGCACCCTATGCAGCTCCTGGCTGTGAGTGGCCCTTTCCACTACTGGGGTCCCGTGGTCGATGGGCAGTACCTCCGAGAGACTCCAGCCAGAGCGCTGCGGAGGTCTCCACGGGCACAGGTCGATCTGCTCCTCGGGACTTCTCAGGACGACGGGCTCATCAGCAGAGCAAAGGCTGTGAAGGTAGGCAGGGCAGAGGTCTCAGAGGCCCCATGGGAGTGGCTCTGGTCCTGGTCCTCAAAGTCTGCCCTTGGTCGAGAGTCACTCACTCACTGACTCACGCGTTTACAAAACGGGTGCTGGAAAACTGCTGTGTGCAAAGCCTCTGTAAGGAGCATAGGAGGTGGTGATGGGGGATGGGGTTCAGATCGTCAGCAGCCCAGACCCAGCCACAGGCACAAGTTGCATCTGTGGGTGCATCCCTGTGGGAAAGAGTGGACAGAGGCCCACCAAGGGGCTCTGTAGTAGCTTCAGGGCTCCAGGCCATGGAGACCCCTGTGCCATGAAGGAGGCTTGTTCCACTGAGACTGGGAGAAGGCCAAGCAGCTGGATGAAGAGGCGCGGTCCCCCAGTCTGGGCAGGGACACCCACCCACCAGCCTTCCACACTGGTTTTCTTACCCAGGCAGCGGGCACCATGCACCTGGCAAGAGCAGCTTCACGTGGCTTGTTGTCAACACAGCGAAGTGGGAATAAGTTGTGAGGCCATTTATCTGCCTGAACACACACTCCTTCTCTGGCCAGGCGCCATCTCCCTCACTAGGATGTGACTTACCCTGGAGGGAACCAAGCACACCCACCTCTCCTTGCATGAAGCACTGTGAGGACACACACACTCGCCACGGGCCTGTGCCCGGCTCTATCAAATATAAGGCAGTATAACTGGAATTAACAGCAACAGCAACAAAAAAATCATTAATGCAAACGGATCTTACACTTTCTTGGATGGCTCTATTCCCTCGGGTGGTATCTCACTTTGCAGAATCTATCTTAGAGCAACACAAGTGTCACTTGGACCTGAGGTAAAACCGGGGTGTTTATCACGGTGTTAATTACTGTGGCAAACATTGGAAGCAACTCAAATGTCCATTAACAGGGAAGTGGCTGAATAAATTATGATACACACAAGCTATTAAATATTATGCCGGAGGTGGAAAGAACGTACTAGATACGTCCCTGCCGGCTTGGGGAATGCCTGCGATGTGTCGTTAGACGGAGGGAACAAAAACCAAGAATGCAGAGGAATGTGAAATTAAGGCAGCATTCCTATTTTAAAACCCAACCAACGTGTCCCTAGCTGCAAATATGTAAATGTGTATAATTCTGTGACTCCTGTGAAAGGTTCACAGTGTAGAAAGATACGCAACAAGCAATTACCACTGGCTGTCTCTGGAGGTGTGGCAGTGTGAGAAAGAACGTTACAAGCTTTATAGTACTGCTATTGCTACATACACATATGTGTGTGTGTCATTTATAACATATATGCATATATATTTGTGAGTATGTATATGGGGAGAGAGAGATTGTGTGTGTGTGTGTACATGTGTGTGCATGTGTGTTGGGGGGTGTCATAGAACTTGGTCACTGTTAGCTCCTGTCCAGTTGACCTACAGCCCTGAAGAAAGGACTTTTGCCTCTGATCCATGTACATTTTTCTGCTGGGCACTTGCCTATAACATAGCCTTACCTGAAGGGGCTGCAACTGGATTAATGAACCAGACTAACCACCCAGGAAGTGCTGAAAAGATGCGGCTCTTCACCACTAGCCCCCGGCGTTTCTTCTCTAAAATAGGGGGTCTTCAAATTACCTTTGCTCGAGCCCCTCATCAGTTAAAAAATAACAAGTCGAGTCATTGAAGTATGAATTACATACATGTGTACTCCTGTAGTAATATGCTGAATTATTATAACACATTCATAAAAACAAAAACAAACACAAACACAAAATTCAAAGCATGAGAAAGAAACGAATATGAGATGAGAAGGAAGCAAATGTTCTCCCATTTGTGCTGCAGCCTTGCCGGGCTCCACGCTGGAGACAACGCCCTCCAGCCTGGGCGTAATGGAAGGACCTGCCCTGAACCCTTTCTGTGCAATGCCTCATCTCACCTTGCCTCATGGGGAAGGATGTGGGAATCTTTGCGCAGAAGCAATTATATCCTCACAGCTCTGATTTTTCAGACCATGTACTGAAAATTTATCCCCACCATCTTTGACTTTTAGAAAGAGAGGAAAAACTGCTTTTACGTTCCCAGGAGCCTGGGGATCATCTGAGGCAGGCAGGAGGGAGCGGGCGCTGGCAGCTGTGTCCCCTACCTTCCCAGGGCAGCGGAAAAGCCATCCACAGGGGCTGGGAGAGGGGGCGCTCGTATGGCAGATTTGGGGCTGTGGCTGACCAGGGGGCAGCCCAAGTCTGCACTTTCTGATTATGCCAACCCCGTTCTAAGAGGGTTGCCTGGTCACATGGCCACCTTGGTCTTTCCTGGTCCTCTCCCAGCAGCTGTTTGGGAGTTTACCAACTCTGTCCTCAATTTCTGAGTCCCTCCAGCCACATGGCTACGTCCAGGGAGCATTGCATTTCTATTCCTTTCATTGTGTTTCCCTCTGAGGCTTTCAAGGAGACGTTTCCTTGGTCTATTTGCAAAGCAAACTAGTATCTGCGGACAGGAGCTCCCTGGCCACACCAGGACGTGGCTGGGAGACTGTGCCTTCAGGTCCAGAATGGGGAAACTGCTGGGAGGGCATGGCAGAGCAGCACCCAGCTATGTTTCACGGCTGTTATCCAAACCCCAGGCCCAGGGGTGCTCCCTCCGCACATTTGTTATTGGTAAGACTGTTCCTCTCTCACCTCCCTTCTCCACTCATCCTCTTGGGAACACGCACTTATGTGGCCTTCGAGCCACTCTTGTGAGCCTTGTCCGTGTCCTGCCGGAATCTCAGCTAGGTGCTGATGGGGACAGTTGAGAGGAAGGGGGAAGTGCTCGTGGTCAGAGTGGCAGCCACGCCACACTTTCGTTGCCCTGACATGCTGGCATCTCCCAACTCTATGCCTCCTGCCTGGGCTTTCTCCTTGAACTCTAGGCTGGTTTAGTCCATGGCCTGTTTGACATCTTCCCTTAGGTGTCTCATAGCTTCTCACTCTGCACACATCCCGAATGAACTGCGGATTCCCCATCTGCCCTGGCCCCCCGATCAGCAGGTTCTCCCGCTGTCTTCACCATCTCAATAAACAGCAACTCGCGCTTCTGCAGGCTTGGGCTCCAAACCAGAGTCACTCTGGACTCGGCTGTGTCCCATCCGACCCACATTCTACCAGCGAACCTGGTTGGCTCTCGCTTCAGAATGCAGCCAGGATCCGGCCTTTCTCACCACATCTTCTGCCATCACTCTGACCCGTGCCATCATCTTTCTCCAGGATTTTGTAATGACCCCCAACTCTCTCCCTGCTTCTGGCTTTGCCCCTGTGATCTGTGGGAACCGCAGTGGCAAGAGCCACCCCTTTATAGTAGAAGTCAGGCCATGTCACTCCTCTACTCAAAGCCCTCCAGGGGCCTCATCTCACGGAGTCAAAGCCATGGCCGTTCCAATGACCTCCAAGGCCTTGCCCGATGTGGCCCCTATTTGCTCTCTGACGCCACCTACTTGTACCCCCCCTCCCCACCCCAGTTCACTGTGCTCCATCCCAGCTGGTCTCTTGGGCGTTCCTCAGCTACGCAGAGCACACCCCCACCTCAGAGTCTTGGCACTTGATGTTCCTCTTCTAGAATGTTCCTCTCCAAGTAACTCACTGCCTCACTTCCTTCTTCAGGGTCTGCTTCTTCAAAGAGAACTTGCTCGACTGCTCTGAGGGGAAGGGCAGCCGTGTCCCCAGCATTCTCTCCCCCACCCCCTTAGCGTTCTCCCCATCCTCAGCACTCACACCTCTCAACACACTACTGTGTGTTTGTCTATTATATTTCTTCCTCAACTAGCATGTGAGCCCCATTTATCTAATTTGCTTTCCACTTTATCTCTGGTTCCTGGGAAAGGGTCTGGTACACAGGAAGGGCTCAGTGAATCTTTATTAGGTTGAAATAATGAAATTATAGGGAATCTACCATGCGTCGGGATGCAACCTAGGAGTCTTCAATGAAATAATCCATCCCCAAATGACCTTATGAAGCCGGAATAATTATCACTATTTTTTAGACGGGACAACAGGTCAGGAAAAGGCAGAATTCAGATCCAGCTCTTCCCAACTCCAGAGCCATCCCCTCCCTTTTACAGCACAAGCCAGGCCTTCCCTCCACTGATGAATGTACTGGGCACATGCATGTGCACAAAATGCAGCTCGAATAGGGCCACTCTGTGCAAAGGGCTTTGCAGTTCCCCTCCACGTTCTTAGGTTATCTCAACCATAACACTGTGAGGCGGATACTCAGGAACCAGCATTGAACACCATTGTACTAAGCAAGTCACAGGCTTCGGGAAGGTCCATGATTGTCCCAAGGTCATCTCACTAGTCATTGGCAAAGCCAAGTCTCCACGGCAGGTCCTGTGGCTCCAAATGGGGTGCTTTGCTCAGGACCCCACATGCGCTAAACTCTAGAACAGAGATGGTCCAGACACTAGCACCACCTGTGTCCCACCAGATGTGATGATAGCCCAGAGGCACCCTCAGAACCCTGCCCAGCACAGAGCCGCACTGGGGCCGTGTGGACACACACGTGGAAACCAGGCTACCAGCTGCCCTCTAGACAGTGTCAATTTCTCTTTTATTTCAAACCATCTTGCTCGTGGTTGCCCTGCGGGTCACCTTCCCTCTTCTCAACCCGCTCATGATGTGTATTTAGAGTCAGGTCTGGAGGTTTTTCTATTTCCCCTCAGGAGGCTCCATTGCACCTGGGTCCAACCACCATGAGCTGAGGGGAAGCCCAGGATGGTGTATCCCTGAGGCCTCAGTCCCAGGCATCCCCTTTTCCTTTGATATCAGCCCAGCCCCTCCTGCTCCGTCCGTGCTGAGACTCAGGATGTATCAATGGCAGAAAATCACCACTCCCAGCTAGCACAGGGTGCCAAACATGTTTTCTAACACAGAGACCTGTTTCTCTAGTCATGCAACATGTAATGAGGTCACTTCCTCTGTGCCAGACACCCTGCTCGGTATTTAGGGTATTATCTTAGCACAAATTAAATCTGCCCTCA